TTTGTTAATAGAACATGAAATATATTAGAGGTTAAAAGACTGACGACTGAGTAAATACAGTTAAGATACTGCAACAACCAAGAGTAAAGCTTATAAATATGGAATTAAGGTAGTGACAATGGGAATAATGGTTTGAAAGATTTCATGAAGGTAGAATCGAGAGAACCTAATGCCAGACTGGCTAAGGGAGTCAAAGGAGAAGGAGAAGTAAAAGATCACAGATGTGGGCTGCGCGTGGTGGCTCACGCCTGTAATCCTAACACTTCGGAAGGCCGAGGCAGGTGGATTGCCTGAGCTCAGGAGTTTGAGACCAGCCTGGGCAACTCGGTGAAACCCCGTCTCTACTAAAATACAAAAAATTACCTAGCCATGCGCTACTTGGGAGGCTGAGACAGAAGAAATGCTTGAACCTGGGAGGCGGAGGTTACAGTGAGACGAGACCGTGCCACTGCACTCCAGCCTGGGCAACAGAGCAAGACTCCATCTCAAACAACAACAACAACAACAACAAAAAAGCCATGGATGTTATTTCATGTTTGATGACAAAAAGGAAAGATACAGAGAGAAGCACATTTCAACAGAGAAATTATTCTATTTTCATGATACAGTAAACCACTGACCTTCTGGAGATCCAAGTCCTACATCCTGATTAGAACTTATTCCTAAATACCAGTATAATAAAAAGTATAACAAGCACTGTTCCATGTCATGAGAAAGGGAAAAAAAGGTATGTGTGAGATGTAGATGCTTGCTGATCAGTTGGGCTCTTACTACCCAAATAAATAGAATTCAACCAGTCTCAACACACACAATGAAAATTTTGGCCTTTTTAAAATCATAAATTATTATAAATTATGAACTTTCAAGGTCACTATCAACTTATAAAAATCACAAATGTTAGGCCGAGCACAGTGGCTCACACCTGTAATCCCAGCACTTTGGGAGGCCGAGGCAGGTGGATCATCTGAGGTCAAGATTCAAGATCAGCCTGGCCAACATGGTGAAACCCCATCTCTACTAAAAATACAAAAATTAGCCAGGCATGGTGGCGGGTGCCTGTAATCCCAGTTACTGCGGAGGCTGAAGCAGGAGAATCACTTGAGCCTGGGAGGTGAAGGTTGCAGTGAGTTGAGATCCCACCACTGCACTCCAGCCTGGGCGACAAAGTGAGACCCTGTCTCAAAAAAAAAAAAAAAAAAAAAAATTACAAATGTTAAGAACACAAATGATGAGTCTATGGTGGAAATGTTAAGCACAAAAATGGAAATGTAGAGCTAAGGAAAGAGGTCACACCTAAAGAGACTCAGCTCACTTTACAAGGATGTTCTATGACATAATGCCATAAATAAAGAGGACTGCAGACCCTTGTTCTACATCCTCAACATCTACAAACAGGGTGAGCCTGCTAAATAGAGTACAATAAAGGATCAAACTAAGGACAGAGGACATGTCCTCAAGGAACATTTAGGGAACAGGAAGAGAAAACAGACAAAGACACATACAAGAGAGCAGTCAGAGAAGCAATAACAGAATGGATATTATAATATGAAAAAAAAGAAAACAATGTCAACAAGGAACACACAGTCAACAGTGACAAACAGTTCACAGAGGTCAGACAAGAGGAGGAAAAGACTATCAGATTTAGTAATTTAAAGGTTCCCAGGACTTTTACATATTTATCTCTGTAACTATTTCACAATGAAAACTTTTCACAAGTAGCCATGAATTACATTATAATTTGAAAAACAAGCCAGGCACTCATCCCTGTAATCCCAGCACTTTGGGAAGTCAAGGCGGGAGAATCACTTGAGCCCAGGAGTTCGAGGCTAGCCTGAGCAACACGGTAAGATACCACCTCTACAAAAAATAAAAAATTAGGCTGTGGTAGTTCAGACCTGTAATACCAGCACTTTGGGAGGCCAAGGAGGGCAGATCATCTGAGGTTAGGAGCTCGTGACTAGCCTGGCCAACATAGCGAAACCCCATCTCCACTAAAAATACAAAATTAGCCAGGCATGGTGGTGCATGCCTATAATCCCAGCTACTACGGAGGCTGAGACAGGAGAATTGCTTGGACCCGGAAGGCAGAGGTTGCAGTGAGCCGAGAATGCACCACTGCACTCCAGCCTGGGTAAAAGAGCAAGACTCCGTCTCAAAAATAAAAAGAAAAATAAAAAATTAGCCAGGCAGGGTGGTATGTGCCTGTGGTCCCAGCTACTTGGGAGGCTGAGGGAGGAGTATCACTTGAGCCTGGGAGTTCACACTGTGAGCTATGACTGCACTATTACACTCCAGCCTGAGTGAGATCCTGTCTCAAAAAGAAAAATAAGTTTTAGTAACCATCACAATACATTCACACAATAGAAAATTACACAGCAATGAAAAAGAACTGTTTCTACAAGCAACAACATGGATAAGTCTCAAGACATGATCTGGGCCGGGCGCGGTAGCTCAAGCCTGTAATCCCAGCACTTTGGGAGGCCGAGACGGGCGGATCACGAGGTCAGGAGATCGAGACCATCCTGGCTAACACAGTGAAACCCCGTCTCTACTAAAAAATACAAAAAACTAGCCGGGCGAGGTGGCGGGCGCCTGTAGCCCCAGCTACTCAGGAGGCTGAGGCAGGAGAATGGCGTAAACCCAGGAGGTGGAGATTGCAGTGAGCTGAGATCTGGCCACTGCACCCCAGCCTGGGCAACAGAGCGAGACTCCATCTCAAAAAAAAAAAAAAAAAAAGACATGATCTGAATGAAAGAATTTGGTCACAAAAGAGTAGACTATGATTCCATTTATATGAAGTATTAGTTCAAAACAAATCTATAGTGACAGAGGTGGTGAGGAAGGTTACATCTGTAAAAGGGTAGTGCTAGGAGAAAGCACAGGGAGCATTCCAGGCTACTGGGAATGTTCTCCATCCTCATGTGAGTTGTGATCATACAGGTACTCATTCTGTAATATTTCATGGACTGAATGAACCTTTGATTTGTCAAACCTCAATAAACAAGTAATCCTGCACAAAAAAAGGTTTTGGTGACCTTAAAGACATCAGTTTTGGGAAAGTATAAGTGAAGAAGCCAAACCATATTAGGGATGTATATAAGGTGAGGACGCTAAGACACTGAGTACAAACTCATTTTTCAAGAAGGTTGCTGGGGAAACAAAGAAGAGGTAACAAAGTAGTTTGGGTAGATTACACAATCCAGGGCAATTATGTTGTTTTGTTTTTATTTGTGATATAAAACAAAGAGAATAACAAGGGTCTAAGGCAAACAAAACAGGATGAAATCAAGGACATAAGTAGAGAAATTAGCCTCAGAGAGGAGGATGAATACTTCTTTCTCTGAGACTGAAGCTAAGGATGAGTAAACACAAAAATCATAAAATAAAGAGGAGGGAAAAATCAAGTAATCTTGAACTCTTCCATGAAATATGCAGTAAGGTCAATTGGACAGGTATACTGAGACAGGAAAGGATCTGGACTTCAAGTTCATTTTACAAGTTTTCACTAGATGATACTGTAGAGAATGTAAAAGACAAGTATTAGGCACACGGGGGAGTAAATTACAGCAACAGGACAATGCTCAGCAGCTGGAAGCAGGGGCAGAGATGGTCAATGGTGCAGTCTCCTCAGGGCTCAGTGGGGAATAAGAGGTGGAAGAACAAAACAGGGGAAAAGTCCAAGGGCTACCTAGCATGGTACATAATTTTTAAAGCGTCTAAAGGGCCGGGCACAGTGGCTCATGCCTGTAATCCTAGCTCTTTGGGAGGCCGAGGCGGGCAGATTACCTGAGGTCGGAGTTCGAGACCAGCCTGGCCAACATGGTGAAACCGTGTCTCTACTAAAAATACAAAAAAAATTAGCTGGGCATGGTGATGGGCACCTGTAATCCCAGCTACTCGGGAGGCTGAGGCAGGAGAATAGCCTGAAACCAGGAGGTAGAGGTTGCAGTGAGCCGAAATAGCACCACTGCACTCTCGCCGGGGCCACAAAGCAAGACTTCGTCTCAAAAAAAAAAAAAAAGTGACTAAGGAAAATGCTAATTATCTGAGAGAAAAGAGGTAAGAGACCTATAAGAAGTCTTAAAATATTCAAGGATGAAGTCACTAGGATTCCGAATAGAGCTGAACAAAAGGAAAGCTGTCACTAGAGTTCATTACTACAGGACATTTTTCTGCAAATCCAACAAGACCAAGGATCACTTATTATCGTTTCACTAAACTTACTACCGCTACTAGTGGCAGCTTCTCCTGCCTGATAAAACTGACCTTTATCCCCTACTCATAAATACACCTACTCTTGACTAATAAATTATATAAACACATTCTGTTCATTCAGAAACTCCATGAATATTTGTATGCTGCTGTGTTTTCCCAATAATGTATTTCAGTGGAAAACCAGAAGGCAAACCATAGATCTACGAATTCTGTTCACAAAATTGGGCTTAAGACTGCTCACATGCAGGTGTTTCACACGTGCTTTCTCGTGAAATAGATGGTTGGTAAAGAGAGCCTTAACAATGATTGTGAACACACTGGTACAAAAGTATAATGATGGCCAAATCAGAGAATGCTTGGGAGTGTCATCCGTTTTTACAATTTTAAGGACAACCTCTAGGAAACAGGATAATACTACATCAAATTGACTTTCCCCATCTTACACTATTTACTCCTATGGATAACTCAACGCCTCTTTAGTAAGCCTACTCGTTGCAGCTCACACACTCAGCCCACATTCCAGCGTCCTTTCGCCCCATCCAGAACCCCTGACTACCTCCTGCACCAATTTTTCATTCTTCTACTACCCCATTTCCAATTCAACCCCAGGCCACCACTTCCATTTCTCCACTCCCCATTTCACGGCCTCCCCAGACCTCCCACTCCTCCCCCGTAACTATTCAGACCCCACCCCTCCAAAGCTCCAGCCCGGGTCCTCCCGCCGGAGATCCCCTCCCCCACGGCTTCCATTCAGGTTCCCCCGCCCGGATCCCAACCCGCCCTACCTGCTCCTTGCCCTCGGGCCCCACGGGGCACGTCCGCTCCTCCAGCCGCTGCCTCCCGGGCGGCGCTCGCCGGCGCGGGGGCAAGGACTGGGGCAGCTCCGCCGCCCGCTGAACTCCATCCTCCCTGCGGTCGGGCAGCGGCGGCTGCGGCCGGTCGCGGCAGCGGCTCCGCTTCATATCTGCAGCTGGGGCCCGCGGGCGTCAGCGCCGCGACTGTCCCGGCCCCGCACTGCCCCGGGCCGCAGCGCAGCCGCGCCAACTACCGCCCGCGGCCACCATGGCCGGGCGGACGCCCGAAGCCACCGACCCCAGCCAGCGGCGCCTTCGAGCCTTCTGGGGCCTCGGGCGCCGCGACCGACCTCCTCTGCGCTCCTCACGGAAGAGACAGCATCGCGGCCGCCCCGCCTCCCCACCCGGCACACGCTGGGCAGGCCACCCGCCGCCGGCTCAGCCGCCTGCCTACAGCCAGCCTCCGGCCGGCCCCGCCCCTCACGCGCGCGCACCGGGAGCCCGCCCGCCACCTCCGGCCGCGCGCCGCCTCCCGCGCACGCGCCAGGGAACGGTCGCGAAGGACCCGCCCGTGGCCCTGGCGCGCAGTCGGAGGACCAGAAGGGGGCGGGGCTCTCGGCGCGCCGGCAGCGGCTGCGGACTCCCATTGAATCTTTCATTCATCCATTCATGAAATTGCCCGGCCAAGCTCAGTGCTGGGGACCCAAAAATGAGTTCGAGTCCATCGGTGTCCTCAAGGAACTAGGGAGAGAGGGGCCGGGAGCAGGAAGGAGACAGAATAACACAACTAATGAATAGAAGGCTATTGCGTGCCTTTTTATTTAGTGCCTGCCAACCCTCACCTAATTCTCACATCACACTTAGGAGGCAAATCTGCGCATTCTCATATTACAGATGAAGACACTGAGGCGAAGTGAAATGCACCAGGTCACCCAGCAAATTAGTGATCAAACTAGACGGAGTTCTGGCTCTTCTGTCCCTTTCCACTGTGTTTGCTCTTTCCGGACAGTAACACAGTGTGGAAACGCCTATAAAAGTGGAAAAAGTGATGGATTCCTTCTGGGAGGAGGAGAGGACAAAAAAGGCATACAATGAAGTCATCGTGTAAAGCCCAGCCCAGTCTGCTATGGCCTGGGTAGCCTGACCTGCTGCCTGCAGTGACTCATCTGCTCAGCAACATGTGGTGGTAGCTCAGCTCTGGCCTCCCTCTGGCTTCAGCTGGTCTGCCACATGTTGTGTTTTTCCTCTTTTGACCTAGAAGCCTTGCCTAAAGCCTTCACCGATTTGTCCTGGGCCTCTTCCCTAACCCCTTTCTGAGTAGTAAAAATAGCCAACACTGTGGAGTGCCCACTGGATACCACACACTATGCATTCAATTCACATATACACAAACAAGAAGTTGTATTTCCATTTTACAGTTGAGGAAATAGGCTCAAGTTACATAATATGCTCAACATCACACAGCTTGTAAGTCCAGAGCCAGGACTCAAACCCAGGTCTGTCAGATGCGGACAGAAAGACAGTGGGGAAACTCCTATAAAAGTGGAAAAAGTGGGGGCCGGGCGTGGTGGCTCACGCCTATAATCCCAGCACTTTGGGAGGCCGAGGCGGGCCGATCACGAGGTCAGGAGATGGAGACCATCCTGGCTAGCATGGTGAAACCCCGTCACTACTAAAAATACAAAAAAATTAGCTGGGCGTAGTGGTGGGCGCCTGTAGTCCCAGCTACTCGGGAGGCTGAGGCAGGAGAATGGCATGAAGCCGGGAGGGGGAGCTTGCAGTGAGCCGAGATCACGCCAATGCACTCCAGCCTGGGAGACAGTGCGAGACTCCGTCTCAAAAAAAAAAAAGTGGAAAAAGTGATGGATTCCTTCTGGGAGAAGGGCAAGACACACATAACCAATGTGCTCTAAAGCCTGTCACCAGCCTGCTCCTCTATTCCCTGTCCCAGTTCCTCACCACCCATCCAGTTACCTCAACCAGAAACCTGGAAATCATCCTGGACTCCTTCCTTGTCCTTTCCTCACATCCAATAAATGAACAAGTCTTATTACCTCTATAACCTCACTATCTCTCCAATCTGCCTCCTCTTTCCATCCCATTGGCACCACCTCAAGTCTCATCTTCCCTCACCTACTTGACTGGGAAAGGCTTCTACCTGGTTCACTTATACCAGTCTCATTGTCTTCAAACTCATCCTTCAAAAAGCCCTCACAAGAATCTTCCTATATGTTACTCGCTTGCTTAAAACAGTTAAATGGGCTGGGCACAGTGGCTCCCGCCACTTTGGGAGGCCAAGGAGGGCAGATCACGAGGTCAGGAGATCAAGACCATCCTGGCTAACACAGTGAAACCCCGTCTCTACTAAAAATACAAAAAAAATTAGCTGGGCACGGTGGCGGGCGCCTGTAGTCCCAGCTACTCAGGAGGCTGAGGACCGCATGAACCAGGGAGGCAGAACTTGCAGTGAGCCGAGATCGCGCCACTGCACTCCAGGCTGGACAACAGAGCAAGACTGCATCTCAAAAAAAAAAAAAGAAAGAAAAAGAAAAAAGCAGTTAAATGAGGCCGGGCACGGTGGCTCACAACTGTACTCCCAGCACTTTGGGAGGCCAAGGCAGGTGGATAACGAGATCAGGAGAGCAAGACCATCCTGGCTAACATGGTGAAACCCTGTCTCTACTAAAAATACAAAAAATTAGCCTGGCGTGATGGCGGGCACCTGTAGTCCCAGCTACTCAGGAGGCTGACGCAGGAGAATGGCGTGAACCTGGGAGACAGAGCTTGCAGTGAGTCGAGATCGCACCACTGAACTCAAACCTGGGCGACAGAGCGAGACTCCATCTCAAAAAAAAAAACAAAAAACAAAACAAAAAAACAACCAGTTAAATGAATCTCAAGATAAACTGTAAACTTACTATGGCTGGCAAGGCCATCCAAATCTGGCCTTTACCTCCCTCTCCTCCTATTAATCCATGCTGTGACAACTATTTATAATTATTCCAGGTACATGTACAGGGTCTGTCACATCCTTAGTTACAAATAACAGAAACAACTCTGGCTATCCTAAACCTAAGGGTAATTTCTTAGAAGGCTACATAGAATGGATCACAGAGCTGAACAGAGACAGAAGATAAAGGCCTATGAAACTGGTAGGAAACAAGGAGCCCCCACAGACTGCACCTCAGGGACAATCTCAGGACACTGCTATCACAACCACCAGGCAATGAGCTGTGCTGCTACTGTGCACCCCTGCAAAATAATTCTAACCTTCTCTTTATAGTTGCATCACCATTACAGATCAACAGTCTCTGACAGGAGAATCCACTGACTCAGCCTAGGTAACTTAAGGACCAGAACCCATTCTACCTTCTCACCTTCCATATTGCGACTGCAACAGTTATTGGGCAGACAGACTCTAAGCTAGTCCTCCTGCTCTACCTGTCTCCCAGTATTTTACACCTTTATGTAATCCCTTCCCATGAATGTAGATGAGGCCTGAGACTTGTTTCCAACCAATAGAATACCAAAAAAAGTAATGTAATATCATTTCCTTGATTATGTTACGTTATATAAGATTCTGTCTTGCTAGAAGACTCACTCTTGCACTCCTAATGGCCTTGACAAAGCAAGCTGTCATTCTCTGAACTGCCTATGGAGAGGTCCATGTGGCAGGAAACTCCAGGCAATCTCTAGGATAGCCTCTGGCCTAACAGCACCAAAACAAAAAAAACTCTGTAGGTCCAATCCTACAAGCAGGAAGAAACGAATTCTCCTAACAATGAGACTAAGCTTGGAAACAGGCCCTTCTCCAGTTGAGCACCCAGATGGGAACACAGCCCACACAACTGATGAATCCCTGAAGCAAAGAACCAAGTTAAGATATATCTAGACAGAAACTGTGAGATAATAAATGCATGTTATGTTAAGCTTCTCAGTTTGTGGTAATTATATATTTGTATTACATGGTAATACAAAAGTAATACAGCCAGAAACCTTCTCAGCCTCCCATCAACCACAAATGGCAACGTGACACAATGTGGCCCACATCCACTTTTTTTTTTTTTTTGAGATGGAGTCTTACTCTGTTGTCCAGGTTGGAAGTGCAGTGGCTCAATCTCCACTTACCACAACCTCCACCTCCCAGATTCAAGTGATTCTCCTGCCTCAGCCTCTGAGTAGCTAAGATTACTGGTGCATGCCACTGCACCCGCCTAATTTTTGTATTTTTAGTAGAGACGGGGTTTCTCCACATTGGCCAGGCTGGTCTTGAACTCCTAACTTCAGGTGATCTGCCCACCTCAGCCTCCCAAAGTGCTGGGATTACAGGCGTGAGCCACCACACCCGGCCCCACCTCCACTTTTATACTTGTTTTCACCAGCTCGGTAAGTGACAAGTCAATTTTTTTTTTTTCAGTTGCTCAGGCCAAAACCTTGGAGTGATCCTTGAGTTCTCTCTTTCTCACATACTTCATATCCACTCCACTAGCAAATCCTGTGCAAATTAGTAGGATATTATAATTAGCTGAGAGAGAAGTGATTGTGACTAGTACTGAGACAAGGATGGCGGGGAGGGATGAATGTGGGTGGACTTTAGAGATAGAAACCACAGGACCTGTTAACTGCATCAAGAGTGCAGAGAGAGAAAAAAGCCCTAGGAATGGTTTCCAAGTTTCTGGCTTGGACAACTGAGGCAGGGAACAGAAGAGGGAAAAAAAGTGTGAAAGATTATGGTCATTTCCACCTTAGATGTGTTTGCTCTGAAGTGCCAGTGAGATATCCAAGTGAAGATGTCTATTAAGCTACTGGTTACACCAGTGTAGTGCTCAGAACTGAGGGCCGCCCATAGTTAGATGTTTAACCGATAAGAACAATACCATACTCTTAGAATATAAATATGATCACATTACTTATCCTTATTCTAGTTAGGCCCCTTATGTCATATTATTAGGAAGCCTAATATCTCCTCCTTAATTATGTAAGAACTCCAAGAATGTTTTATATTCTAAAAGGTAAGTATGGGCTGGGCACCATGGCTCATACCTGTAATCCCAGAACTTTAGGAGGCCAAGGTGGGAGGATCACTTGAGCCCAGGATTTTGAGACCAGTCTAGGTGACATGGCAAAATCTCATCTCTACAATAAACACAAAAACTAGCTGGGCATGGTGGCACACACCCAGAGTCCCAGCTATTCAGGAGGCCAAACGTAGCAGGATCATTTGAGCATGGGAGATGGAGGTTGTAGTCAGTCAAGATCATACGACTGCACTCCAGCCTGGGTGACAGAATGCGACTCTGTCTCAAAAAAAAAAAGTAACTAGGTAAGTATAGCAGTTATCTATTGTTATATAACAAACTATCTCAAAATTTGTGGCTTAAAACAACCACCATTTATTTAGCTGACAATGTTGTGAGCCAACTGGGCTGTTCTTATGGTCTGGTCCAGTTTATCTAATCACTGCTGGACT